AAAGTTATCTCGAGCCAGTTTTAGCTCACTGAAGAGCTACTCTCCCACTGGTCATGACAGGGAAGACAGACGCCATGTACAGTATTTACAGGTTCATTTTACCAGGGAAATTCCCCTAGCTCTTTTCAACAAGCACAACGAACTTTTGGATCACAGTTTAACATCCTGTCCTCGGGACTGCCATCCTTTCAAGCAGCGTGCATGTCGGGTGATCGACAACGGCCGGGATTCGAACTCCCAACCTCTTGTTCCAGAGGCAGGGTCGCTAACCACTGGACTACACGCACGCTACACACGATCATGTATTCTGTATCTGTATCTGTATAACCGGTATAACCGCCTTTCGGCGTAACACACCAGCTTCGCAGGCACGCGGCGCGGCGGCAGCTGGCTATATTACACCGATCGACTTGTTACACCTAACCCTTGAACTTCTAGCTCTAGACATTGTTTAAAGCTATCTATTGACAATGCCCCTACTGTACTTGGTGACAGTGAGTTCCACTCTGCGATAGTTCTAGGAAAGAATGAATTCTTGAACACCTCAATCCTTGGTTGATAACTCTGGTACTTGAATGCATGGCTCTTTCTTGTTCTCTTCTGGGCTGGTATTAGGTACTTAGTAGTTGGGACATCCACCAGTTTATTAGTCATTTTGTACATCATGCATAGTCTGGACATATTTCTATTCATCAATCCGTGAGAAAATGAAAATTTACTTTAGTTCCAACTTAATGAAATACACGTGCGGGTGAGGAAGCGCGGGCTTGTAAGACCATTACCTGCACTAACGACTCAGTGATTAATGTTGAACGTAACCTTAATTGGGGAGAAAATTAATGGTGCAGTTTTTACTGGCGGGTTACCAATGAAAAACAGACATTAGAGCATGATGATAAAAACAGAAACATGGATTATATGGAGCGACATAAAGTAGACTGGTTTGGCACAAGACAGCTCGGTACGTAGGCGCGTGAATGTTGCGCAAAGTGCAGTTTTAAACTTGTCTTGACTAAAAGCAGTTATGTTGTAAAACAAGTATAGCACTCGTATAAAATATGCGTAGGGTGGGCTTGGAATATACATTTAATGACCTGAAACATGCACTTTTTTCATTCACAAATTTGTAAATTGTGATTTTCCGTCGATACATACGCTGGATGGCGTTTTAAAGTATATTAGAATTTTAAAAGAGCAGTTGTAAAGACTACCGTTCTATGTGCATGGAATAATGTGTAAGATGTATGTAAAATACACATTCATGACGTAAAATTTACACTTTTTTCACTCACAAATTTCAAGATATCCTCCCTTCAAACAGTACAGCAGGAAAAAAAAAACTGGAAACGATTACTTCATAGTACTGTAGTTTTAAAATAAAAACACTACCTCACTCCCATGCCACCTGCGCGTATGTAGATATTTTCCGGTCCTTGAGCAATATCATCACCCCAGGCCACATCAATTTAATTTGTTGGTTCTCGGATTCGCCTGTTCATTTTTTTCTGATTTGCAAAAAAAAAAAAATTCTGGTTCTGAATCATCTAAGAAATGCTCAATTTTGCTCCCAACAGTTGAGGAAAGTCCTTTTCTTCCTAGTTGTTACAGTTTTTCAATCTTTTAATGCAGTGGTTTGGTTAAAAGTTCAAAATTCATTGTTTAAATTTTATCCCAGCTTTTTGTGTTGACTTCATGGCTCCAATCGAAGCATTTGGGGCTATAATAGGATGCCTAGGCCTGTTTTTATTTTTATTTTTTTTCGCCCTGTCGCTTCATATTTTTTCTGAAAAAATCCGAGAACCAACAAATTAAATTGGTGTGGCCCCAATAAGCTCCACACGGCTTTCACGCTTCATTTATTTGGATCAAGTTTGTTGAAAAACCATTCCAGGTTCTATTAAATCACAATCATGTGATAATGTACAGCCACGGCTAAAAGCTACACGTGACTTCAACAATGACAAATCTGCAAACTCTATGCAGGCAAGTATGCAAGGCCGCACAAAAGCCAAATTCTTAACATGATACTATCGTTGACTTACAATTTTTTATTTTAAAGAAAATATGTTAGCAACTGAAAGAAACCCTTTTGCTAGTCTCCATTCGAAATATCTAAGAAGTAACGGTTGTTAGCCTTGGCCCTGCTTAGAATTACTCCACTAATCAAATTTGCCTTGAGTACAGCACAAGTTAAAGGATTTGGTGTTTCACAAGCAAAGGTAAAGGTAGTCCCGTTGCCTTTTGAAGCTATAGAGCAGGGGCAGTGGGTCGTTAATCCACTGTGTCTAGGGCACTGTATTGGGAGGTGGAGCCCATCCCTCTCCTTCCACCGCCTTTTACGTCCATAACCCAAGTCTGGTACCAATTTTACACCTGGAAGGACTGAGGAAAGTTGTGTTAAGTAACTTATCCAAGGACACAACGTCTAGCCAGGAATACAGGGAATCAAAACCTCTTGATCTGGTATCCACTAGCCTTACCACTCAGCCATTTGACGCCACAATATTTCCCATGTAATGTCCGAGATATCTGATGCTGAGCATAATCCTGGGTGTTGTCCTTGGTGCTGAGAAGTGTGTAATATCCACACGTGATGGTCAAGAGTATACAGTTCAATCTCTCCACTGGGAACGGAAGGGCTGTAAAAAAAACGCTGATAAAAACAGAAATGTGAAAAGCGTAACGCATTCTTCTGCTTCAGCTGACATGTAGGATTATGTTTTGCAGTAGACTCGATTTCCACCAAGCAAATGGTGACGCCTCTGTGTTATCTTGCATATGCATGAAAGATTAAGTAAATGACAACAGTAACTAATTTCGGTTTTTTAGTTCTGGTGTATCATAACAGCAAGGAAGCAAACTTGTTTTATCAATACAAGAAGTCATTCTTCACACGATGTGATCTGACTTTAGGCCACACCAGTTTGATTTGTTGGTTCTCGGATATTTTCACAAAAAGAGGAAGCGACAGGACAAAAAAATTAAAACAGGCCTAGGCATCCTATGATAGCCCAACTGGCAAGATAGGAACCATGAAGTCAACATACCAGGCTAGTTTGTACAGTAATTCAAACATTAAATTTTTTTGACAGATAGATGGAAAAACTGTAACAACACTGAAGAGAAGGGACCTCCTTTAAATGTTGGAACCAAAATATGAGCATTTTTGGGTTGATTCAGAGGCTGAAATGCCTTTTTTTCTAAATCAGAAAAAATGAAGCGGGCAAATCCGTGAACCAAAAAATTAAATTGGTGTGGCCTTAGCAAACTTCACATATACAATCATGTGATCATCATCGGCAGGAGCTCAAGTCCGAGCATTTCTGTCCAGCGATTCACTTCACAATACATTTGAATAAATTTAACACGCTGTAACACTTGGTGGTTTAGAGAAGTCGATTTCTTGAGATCAAAACAAATGGTGTTAAAACAATTGTACAGCCACTTTACTACTTTAAAACAAACGTATATTTGATTAAAAGCAACACAAAATGCTTCTGAGGGCATATATACACTGTAATACAGTTCTTTCTCAGTGTATGAATACAACATTTATAATAACAAATGATGTAACACTTGACAACTTTACTGCTACTTAACTGCTTTGTAAGACACCAATATTTGACTGAGAGCAAACTGCTGTAGAGGCCATATATACACCGTAATACAAGTAAGCCATAGCAAAAGTGGTGAGCCATAAAGCAACAAACGTTTACACCAACTTGCAAGTTGCTATTTCTGCACAAAATGGACCACAAGTTCACAAACAATCAACATACAGAAAGAGACAGACACTGCAGAGGTATTGTATCTTCTTTTGGCCACAATACCCTAAGTTATGCTAAGGCCACACCAAGTAAATTTTATGGATGATGTCCGCGCGCGCATTGATTTTGGCCTGTTCCTAGAAAAAAAAACCCAAGAAATTCCGCTTCTTGTAACTATGACCAAAGAGTCACGACAGTGCCGCAAATCGTTAGACCCCGTAAAGCGAAATGGGTAAAGAGCACATGCTTTGTTTCTGCAGGCCTGCAAAAAATGTGATGAAAGAAACAGGACAGGATGATAACTGCTGTTCCACCTGATTCATTGCTTTTTTGATGATGAATAACTTCTTGCTTGTTACACTGTGTCACCTCATTCAATTTGTGTCCTAACATTTGTCGTCTCTTAGTTTATTTCTAATCCAGGCTTCTTGTTTTTCAGGGCCTTTCTTGTTTTTTTTTCGCCCTCTCGCATTAGATTTAGGGTCTCCAAAGGACGTCATCCATAAAATTTACTTGGCCTAAGGTCACAATTCTCAACCCAGCCGTACAGTTTGCGGGAGCAAAAAGAATGATATAAAAGGCATCGAGACAAGAAAAAGTTTTGAAAACTAATCATGAGTACTATTTGTGCATATTGTTGATGTGGATTCATTATTTTTCGCTCGCAGGCAGCCCATTCGCAGTCAGGTTTGGAAATGTGATCTTAGCATAAGGGTTAGAGCTCATTGGGTCTGTTGTTGAAATAAACCCAACAAACAACTCGCTCACTTGCATATTCACATCACACAAACACACCATGCACATTATTGTCAATATCTCTCGGCCATAAACAATGGTTTTGATGCATAATAAAGACAACACTAGTCACTAAGCACTCATAGGATTACTTGCATCATCATTTGCATAGCTATACGAAGTATACACAGATTGAATCACAAATAGCTAATGTTTTGCAAAGGATTTGTGCAAGTTTCATAGCTTTGTTTTTTGGTGTATTTTCTTTTATAACAACTTAAACTTAGCAGCAACAGACCAGTGTGCACAAATTAACACGACTAAGCATTAAACCAATACGTTTGGATTCAGCATCTAGTCTTGTAAAGAGACAACTTTAACATACAATGTTATGTACATAAACCAGCACGTCAGCAGAACGTACTGCACCTGTGCAAAACCCGGATTGTCCAGTTTTTGTTGGATGTTTTGTTAATGTTGGGTCAGAATTTTGCCCATTGCTGACGATGTTTTTCCCAACACAACATTTGAAAACTATAGACTGGATGTCGTTATTAGATACGCGAATACAACCTTAAAGAAGACGTTCTCCTGAAGTACTTTGCAAAATACGAGACAGGTTTTGCACAGGCCCAGTACGTTCTGCCGGCATGCTAGATAAGGCCACACCCATTTAATTTTATGGACAACATCCCTGCATACAATGATTTTCACCTGTTGTCAACAAAAAAAAAATCGCCTCCTCCGAGGCTCTGGCCTGGGTGCCATCCTCGGTAGTAGCCAGCAAGAATAGGTAGCCGGTGGTGTGAAGCTCCATGGAACTCCAGAAATCAGTACAGTGCTGACTCATAAATGTCACAAAAGACCAGCATGTGCCGGCTTGTCATAAAAGTCACTATGTACTACTGCAAATTCACACAAGTTTGGGTGTCTTCAGAGGATGTCATCCATTAAAAAATGAAGTCAGTGTGGCCTAAACCATGGGTATGACCTGCAACTCAGCTCATCACAACCACTCAGGCAGGTAGTCTTGTAGCTGGTACTTCAGCCTCATGCCGTAGTAGTAGACCTCCGACACGATTGACTTGCAGAAGGAGGAGGACGTCCTGCCCGCCTTGCAGTACATGTACGTCAAAATTACCAACAGGACCAGGAACATGAACAGGACCATCACTACCAAGAAGGGACTGTCATCTGGTGAGAGAAAATTGACAACGTCATCAGTGAAATAACAATCTTTAAATTCAAAATATCAAAAGAAGTCTTCTATGTCGTTTGCTGACATGAAGAAACAATGCCTGTCCATTGTGATCTTGTGATACTGATCTTTCAACAAACATGGTTTGTGCTGCATTCAGCACTCAGAAATGGGATCTGTCCTTGGTGCTAAGTCTAACACTCAGAAACAGGGCCTGTACATGGTGCTGATTATAGTGTTAAGTCTAACACTCAGAAACAGGGCCTGTCCGTGGTGCTGATTATAGTGTTAAGTCTAACACTCAGAAGCAGGGCCTGTCCATGGTGCTGATTATAGTGTTAAGTCTAACACTCAGAAACAGGGCCTGTACATGGTGCTCAGTCTAACACTCAGAAACAGGGCCTGTCCGTAGTGCTGATTATAGTGCTAAGTCTAACACTCAGAAACAGGGCCTGTACATGGTGCTGATTATAGTGCTAAGTCTAACACTCAGAAACAGGGCCTGTACATGGTGCTAAGTCTAACACTCAGAAATAGGGCCTGTCCATAGTGCTGATTATAGTGTTAAGTCTAACACTCAGAAATAGGGCCTGTCCATGGTGCTGATTATAGTGCTAAGTCTAACACTCAGAAACAGGGCCTGTACATGGTGCTTAGTCTAACACTCAGAAATAGGGCCTGTCCGTAGTGCTGATTATAGTGCTCAGTCTAACACTCAGAAACAGGGCCTGTACATGGTGCTAAGTCTAACACTCAGAAACAGGGCCTGTCCATGGTGCTAAGTCTAACACTCAGAAACAGGGCCTCTCCATGGTGCTGATTATAGCGTTAAGTCTAACACTCAGAAACAGGGCCTGTACATGGTGCTGATTATAGCGTTAAGTCTAACACTCAGAAACAGGGCCTGTCCATGGTGCTGATTATAGTGCTAAGTCTAACACTCAGAAACAGTGCCTGTACATGGTGCTAAGTCTAACACTCAGAAACAGGGCCTGTCCATGGTGCTGATTATAGTGTTAAGTCTAACACTCAGAAACAGGGCCTGTCCATGGTGCTGATTATAGTGCTAAGTCTAACACTCAGAAACAGTGCCTGTACATGGTGCTAAGTCTAACACTCAGAAATAGGGCCTGTCCATGGTGCTGATTATAGTGCTCAGTCTAACACTCAGAAACAGGGCCTGTCCGTAGTGCTGATTATAGTGCTCAGTCTAACACTCAGAAACAGGGCCTGTCCATGGTGTTAAGTCTAACACTTAGAAACAGGGCCTGTCCGTGGTGCTGATTATAGTGTTAAGTCTAACACTCAGAAACAGGGCCTGTACATGGTGCTGATTATAGTGCTAAGTCTAACACTCAGAAACAGGGCCTGTCCGTGGTGCTGATTATAGTGTTAAGTCTAACACTCAGAAACAGGGCCTGTCCATGGTGCCTAAGTCTAACACTCAGAAACAGGGCCTGTCCATGGTGCTGATTATAGTGCTAAAGTCGTAACACTCTGAAACAGGGCCTGTCCGTAGTGCTGATTATAGTGTTAAGTCTAAGCACTCAGAACAGTGCCTGTACATGGTGCTAAGTCTAACACTTAGAAACAGGGCCTGTCCGTGGTGCTGATTATAGTGTTAAGTCTAACACTCAGAAACACAGCCTGTCCATGGTGCTGATTATAGTGCTAAGTCTAACACTCAGAAACAGGGCCTGTACATGGTGCTAAGTCTAACACTCAGAAATAGGGCCTGTCCGTAGTGCTGATTATAGTGCTCAGTCTAACACTCAGAAACAGGGCCTGTACATGGTGCTAAGTCTAACACTCAGAAACAGGGCCTGTCCATGGTGCTAAGTCTAACACTCAGAAACAGGGCCTCTCCATGGTGCTGATTATAGCGTTAAGTCTAACACTCAGAAACAGGGCCTGTACATGGTGCTGATTATAGCGTTAAGTCTAACACTCAGAAACAGGGCCTGTCCATGGTGCTGATTATAGTGTTAAGTCTAACACTTAGAAACAGGGCCTGTACATGGTGCTCAGTCTAACACTCAGAAACAGGGCCTGTCCGTAGTGCTGATTATAGTGCTAAGTCTAACACTCAGAAACAGGGCCTGTCCATGGTACTAATTCTAAGTGTTGTGGCACATGGCCTCTCTATGGAGCTGATGTCTAATGATTTTCAACAATTTCTCCAGTCTCACTTCAGTTCTGGATACTTGAGTTTGAGTTTATTTGGAGCCACAATTTAGCATGCACAGTTGCTATTGTTCCTGTGGTCCTACATTTTAATATTCCTTATCTCCCACGACTATTTCCCACACACATACAGCACACAAGGTCAGAGGGATGAAGCAGGAAAACCCTCACTTGGCCATTTGATGGGAGGCAATCTCCTAAGTACAAAGAGGATGAGTTACTAAGCAGTGACCAACCTTTTTGCATGTCAGATCAGGCCTTCAAAATAAAGGACTGTACATGCATATATGTAAACAGCAATGGAAAATATAGCATATTGTATTGGACCCAGTATTTGAAAAATCTTGTCAACACCTTTCAAGAGATTTTTCAGCTTGTCTGCGGGAAAAGTTGTAGGACAAGACTACCAACCTCTATTTTCAAGCTTAGGCCACACCAATTTAATTTGTTGGTTCTCGGATTTTTCCAGAAAAAATATGAAGCGACAGGGCGAAAAAAATAAAAATAAAAACAGGTCTAGGCATCCTATTATAGGCTTAAATGCTACAAAATGAGCCATGAAGTCAACACAAAAGGCTGGGTTAAAATTTAAACATTGAATTTTGAACTTTTAATCAAACCACTGCAATGATAGATGGGAAAACTGTAACAACTAGGAAGGAAAGGACTTTCCTCAACTGTTGGGGGCAAAATACGAGCATTTTTCAGTTGATTCAGGACCAGAATCAAATTTTTTTTTTTTTTTGCAAATCAGAAAAAAACGAAGAGGCGAATCCGAGAACCAACAAATTAAATTGGTGTGGCCTAAAATATGAATATTTGATATAGCAAGTTACATGTTTCAGAATCCATAGTGTAGACTCATTGCAGAAAGTATTGGCTTTTCAAAACAAGCACCACCAGGTTATCATTTCTTGCTTCCACCACAAAAAAAAAAACTATATTCAGAAGTAGGACTCAATAAGAAGTGCCTGTCACCCAAATAACCTGGAAGAATGTTTAATACGTATGTTTCAGAATACATGTTGTCAACTCATTATGAATCAATCTTGTACTTGGTAAGTATTGCCTTTTCAAAACAAGCACCATTAACAGTAATTTCCTGCTTCCACCACAAAAGCAACAGCATTCAGAAGTAGGACTGAACAAGAAATGCGTATCCCCAAATCCCTGGGAAGATCACCTTGCCCAGAACTGCCGTTCACAGCCCTGCCTGGTGCAGCCTGATTAGCATTTGAATAGTGCCAACTCCAGATGAAGATGTATGCCCCCGCCTTTTGATGTGAAATCAGTGAGGGGACGAACTTTATGAAATTACTGAAACAGAGCCACTCACGTAACGAATGGCGTGCCAGGGGGGCTTAGCGCCGCGCCCGTAAACTCAATAATCCTGGGTAAATCAGCCCCATCCAGCACCATTGCCGGTACATGCTGATGAACAATTTGTTCTCATATCTGGCAAATTCCCCCACATACCTGCAGGGGCCTGGCAGGGGGAGGAACGACACTTAAAAGTGGTCATTTTTTTTTTTGTTCTTGTTCTTGTTCAGGTACTGCACAACACCCCTAGATTGGGGTAAAACGTGCAGGGGAGCTGTGCGATGCGTTATTGCTGCTTCCTCAGGTGTTGTAGTACTGCAGCGTTTTTGCTCCATACTGTTAACTTTGTAGTGTCTTTGTACGTTCTCTTCAATTGTAATACATGTATGTATGTATAATATGAATGTAATGTGTAGACCACAGGAAGAATAGCTTCTTGAGGCTAATTGTGTGGATCTAAATAAAACTCAAAACTCTTCTCTTATTCTGCAAACACACACACTTCATACAGTTTCATTTTCGGCATATGAATAGTAAATAAACATTTATAGTAAAAAATGATAATATACGATGTAAAGGAAAGTCTTGAAACATCAAGAAACCTAGGTATTTTCTAGTAGCATGCAACCATAATTGTCTCATTATCATACTATTTGAAAAAGAAATGATGTTTATACTATCCGAATAAATATCACTGTGGGGTGATAGGACAAATATCAGCATGGCACAATATTGTGGCTGTTGTTTAATCATCTCTAGACGATAGGGTAATCAAAAGAGAGCGAATGATTGTACTGCTTGTTGCAAGAGTGAAAGAATCAGAAGTCTCTGAAATCAGCATCCAGTCAACACATCGGCATCCCGGGAGCCCCCCATCACACCCTCCGCCTGCGCTAACCTGTATTCTCTTGCACATCAGCGCAGAGCCGGAGGATCAGGGTGCGCTAATGTGTAAATTTGTCATGACTCCGTGGGCTTAGGGCAGGCACGCACACCAATGGAGGCAGCCAAATGCCTGCAATTTATAACCCCGCTTTGATTAGTCGCTAACACAATTTGCGCTGGCCGACTACCCGAGCTGAATCGCAAATGCCGGTGATAAGGACCCACTTTCGGCGGAGGGCTGGTGCTCTAAAAACGCGGGAGCTTTTTTTCCTCGTGCCCCGAGATGCGAAGATGGATAATCCGGAGCCTGGTCACCGAGAGCTTAATCAATCGGGGTCAAAACGGGGGAAAGACGTCCCCGTGGCGGCCGTGTGTCGGCGATAATGGGAGCATCGCGCTCGCTCGCACGGACCGGCGAGATGGAGCACTTCCCGCGCAATGTTCATCTCCAGTCAATAAAGACGCAGCAAGGAATCAGACAGGAACGGCACTCAGCCGGAAAGTTAACATAAATGTACTACTCTTGAGTAGCAGAAGCAGTTACTGTAGTAGTAGTAGTAGTAGTAGTATGTACTTGAGCCTAGTGGAGCAATCACTGTTGGCTTCTGGACGTGCCAAGTCATTACAGTACTTAGCAGTAATCATGTCCATTCCTGCTCTAATGGTGGTTCCGAATCTTGATAGTCTTGGAGATTGGCTTTTAGACTGCAAATTATGCTACCAGGGGAATGTGACCATGGTGGTAAAAACTTGGACATGTTTGCTGTACTTGCTGGGAAAGGTGTTTATTTGGCGTGTTTCCCATTTCTTTGGCAAATACATGTATCTATCTCTAAGCATCACTGCCAAGTTGTACATGTAGACGGTGTAGGAACAGTTTTTCTACCGTTGTCTGTGAGCATGGGAAAAAGTTTTCCGACTTTGTAGTCCTTGCCACTTTGTAGCCCTTGGAGTTTGCACAACAAAGTTTGGACAGGTTATCAAATGAGTTAGCAAAGTCCCATAGATTTCTCTCTGCCCAAATGTCCACCTAGAAACCCTACCTCATTAATTGCCCCCACATAAACTAAGTTCCTCCATTCACCAATGTCAGAGCCCCTCGTACAAAAGACCGGCGGAGGAGATGGCTAGTGACTGCCGTGTACCAATCAGGCTTGGGAGAGGCCGAGTCAAATTGTGCGGAAGAAACGTATCGACATGCCTGAGAAATTGGCCCTTTTTCCTGCAGCGCTTTCAATTAAATTTCGAGCAAGACAAACTCCTGGCAGGTGCACCGCGGTGGCCTCAGTGGCTAAATTAACAAGATTAACAGGAGGTTCTACCTGGGAAAGGGGTGAGAGGTGCGAGAGGCTTTAGCACCTTCTTAAACGTTGTCTCAGCTTACGACGGTAATTCCATTCAGCAGGAGTCTTTACAGCGGTAATTCTGGCACTGATGGATGGGGGGGAGGCACGCCGGCCACTAATCAAATGTTTAGTCTTTGAATCGGATTATGTGAGGAATCGTATTGACATTCAGCCGGAGAGTGGCCCTCCAAAGACGGCGATGTAATTCTGTGACCGTCCCATTGTTTTCTCTTCGCTGTTCATCAAACGAACGTCGCCTGTCTGTTCCTCAAGTCGTGATGCGCGCGATGTTTTATCTGGTACTAGATGCTGTATGAGTCAGCGATGCTCAAATTAAGGGGAAAAACCCTCTTACTTTATACGTCCCCGTCGTGCATCAACCCGGCAATGTACCAAGTCAGGGTAGTTAGAGCCATCTCTAATCAAATGATTGGGGAGCGGATCAAATTATGTGGGGGAATAATATCGACATTTCCCCCCAAATTGGCTTTTCCTGCAAATTTCAGGTAATTGTGTTTCTACCCTGCTCATTACGGGGCAATCTGAATTGCAGATTGCTTAAATGCCGGCCCATAATTGATTGCATGAATCGCGAGCAGTGGGGCTGAGGTAGTGGGGAGGTTTGCATGCCTAATCCCAGGGTCTTTATCCAATGGAGGGGATGGGAGGAGATTGGAGATGTACTTTACCGGGCTATTTGCAGTGATCCTAGCAAAAATGGGACTTTTATTGAGTTGTACATCACTGGTGGTGAACTTTTCTTCAAGGTGTGCCCCACACATGCATCTGGGCGGGAGTGCCGGGGAGAAATCTACTGTGCTGCTTAGACAAAAATGAACTGTTATGGCACACTCATGCTGTCATAATTGTCTCAAGTCTCCTAGTTAAGCGTACATGTACAATTAGGAGAGTTTGAATTCGTTTAACTCTAGGGATTACCTAAGTCATGGCAAATTCTTTATTGTTCTCACTATTAACATTGTTTAATTGTTATACATTGACAAGAATATACGCTTTTGACCTCCCTTGCACTGTTATATCTCATCTATATTAATTTTCATTGTTATGTATTTATTTAAAAGTGCAAACAAATAAACAATACTCTTTACCTTCTTGCTTTGCTTAAACTTTCTTGGCCTTTTACACTAGGATAATACATGTACTAAGCCTAGTGTATTACTGTATTCTGTTAATCTAAACTTCTACCATTGTGAACAGGTTGTATACAGCAGTGCATTCTAACCTTCCACATATAAAGGGTAAATGTTTGGCACCAAAATTATAAAGTATTGGTTATGGGTTAAGGCAGCAGGGAGAATGTTAAAAGACCAGTCCTGTGTGGCAATTGTTTTTAGAAGCATCTGTCCAAGTTTCAAAGCTAAAGTTGTACGAAGCATGGTGAGGAGAAAGTTTCACACTGCCTCCAGGGTTGGACAAGTCCCATTGCCCACTTGCCCAGGGCAAGTAAAAGTACTGTTCTGGCAAGTGAATATCCCCCTGTACTTGCCCGATTGGGCAAGTAAATTTTTTGGATGCAAAGTATAGCCGCTATGGTGTTTGGAACAAAATTACTCATCATTTTGCTAAATTGGTATTATATTAATGTCCTTTTGTCAGAAAATCCATTGCAAGTCTCAAACCACCTTATTTTGATAAATAAAGCATTATAAACTCTAAAATAAGATGCTGGTAGTAAAAATGCATAAAAATGTCATGTATAGTTTGGGCAAGTGAAAAGTTGGTTTGGGCAAGTGAAAATGACTCTGTACTTGCCCGATAGGGCAAGAGGATTTTTGAAAACTTGTCCAACCCTGGCCTCTGTCAGTTTTCTGGAGCTCACCTTCCTGTTCCTCCTGCATCCACTGTACCTGGGGCCTAAATGGCTCAGAATGGACCTGTCCAGTCTCTTCCTCCTTCTTATCAGTGCCTGAAATGTGTACAGAAAGAATAATACAACACACAGCTTTGTATACAGCTTTGTCTACAGTTTTGTCTTTAACTAGAGCAACAGAAGTTCAAAGTGAAAATTGTCCCTAAGCTCCCTTAATCTTTGCTTGAAAGTTCATCTGGAACAGGTTTGAACTGTTCCAAAACATTCCTTGACAAAGACTGGAGTTGTACAGTCCAAAATTTGAGTGAGTCCAATTTTTGTGTTGGAAATTACAGCTCATACCTTAATTTTAGAGAATCCCTTAATTTTCCTAAAGAAAGAGGAATTGTTTCTAACCTTGTGCTGGTACCCGTCTCCTAACCCCCGATGCCTCTCCAGCAGTTGCCCCCTCTGTCTGCTGCAAGTCTGCAGAGCCTTCCTGCAGGGTGGAACTGCCATCCAGCTGCCCCGTGGTCTCCTCCTGCCCACTCTGGAACTGACCCATGGCATCTGCATGAAAAGAAGAGAACTTTGTCTACATTTTTATAAGACGCCTGCCATCAGCAAACTAAAAAAAAAAGAAAGGAAAAGGAGACGGTATAAGAGACAAGAGAAAATATGAGAAGAGTGTCAATAAAGTTACCTTACCCTGAACTGTCACAAGAATCAGCTACATTTTGTTGATGTAGGTTAGAAATTCAGGTATAAAAAAACAACACTGTCTCATACAATTCAAACCTCTACTGCTGGATAACATAAATGGAGATTACTTCCAGACATTTCAAGCGATTCTAGTGCTGCTCAAGAAGAGTGATGGATGTCACTCTTAACATCTGGAAGTAGGCTCTGTATTTTGTTCAGTAGTGGAGTATGAATTTTCCACGAGAAACAGCTACATTGTTTGGATATTGGGATTTTCCAGCCACAACCAGGTACTCTTCCTACCTTGCTTACGTTTCGATGCTTACGCCACACCAACTTAATTTGTTGGTTCTCGGATTTTTTCAGAAAAAATATGAAGCGACAGGGCGAAAGAAAAATAAAAATAAAAACAGGTCTAGGCATCCTATTGCTACAAAATGAGCCATGAAGTCAACACAAAAGGCTGGGTTAAAATTTAAACATTGAATTTTGAACTTTTAATCAAACCACAGCAATGATAGATGGGAAAACTGTAACAACTAGGAAGAAAAGGACTTTCCTCAACTGTTGGGGGGCGAAACATGAGCATTTTTCAGTTGATTCAGGACCAGAATGAAATTTTTTTTTTTGCAAATC